GACTTGTAACCTTGAGGGTTATGCTGTAAAGCTAACCCACACAGATCAAACTGTGCTGAGACCACCATTAAACACTGGGGATATTAAAACTCCTTCCTCAGTATCAATTTAGGTGCACACTGGGGTTTTGTTAAAGTTCAGATGTTTACTCTTATGGGATTTATAATCCATTAGCATTATTAAATTAATGGTTCTTTTAATTAGCCATCACAAGGTGGGTGTTCCTTGTGCTGCACAGCATATACAGTATTTCCCCACTGGGCAATTAAATGTTAATTACTATTTTTAAATTATTCTATTTTATTATCAGAGTAATAGTCAGAAAAGTAGGAAAATAAACACCTATTGAGAAAGAATAAAACTGCAAAACAATTACAAAATGATACACAATTAATGACTTTTACTGGTTTACTGTACTTTTTGTTCATCTTGAGATCATGGATGTGTTTCTGGTTGATTAAAAAACATCCATTATTGTGGCTTAGAGAGATAAGAGATGAATTTACTCATTATTAGTGATCCACAGAGAATAACAAAGGGTGGATCCTGTATGGCCATCAGAAAGCAGGCTTTGAGAAGTCATTTTAAGAGGTGAATCAGCAGTTGAAGAGTATTCAGCCATACTGTTTGAGAAAGGTAAGTGTAAAAGCTTGAGTGATATAGCCATGAACCTTATAATGAGAGTTACTCACATCAGATAAAGACTATATACCAAGTATTGCTAATGCTTAAATGTTTGAGACGTGTTTAATCACTACCTCTGTATATCCTTTTTAGTGTGTCTAGAAATTTCCACGCCATCATGCCAGCGGGAAATCATAGCATTGTGACTGAATTCGTTCTTACTGGATTCCCTGGACTTCATCCAGAGTATCAAGGCATCACCTCAGCTGTATTGTTCATCGTTTATTTCTTAACTTTGACAGGCAACTCTACAATTCTTTTTTTATTTGCAACCGACCACAGCCTTCACCTGTTTATCGTATAATTCTAAATTTGGTGCCATGTGACATTCTCTTTAGCACAACCACTTTACCTAAGATCTCCAGTAAATATTGGTTTCAATCAGGGACTATTTCATTCACTGCTTGCTTTGTCCAAATGTACTTTGTCCACTATCTTGGCACAGTGAATTCCTTTATTCTCTTCCTAATGGCTTTAGATAGGTATTTGGCTATCTGTCATCCTCTCAGATATCCACTTCTTCTTAAAAGCTCCACCATCTACATTGTCAGTATTTCTGCGTGGATTGTTGCCCAGGCAGCTCCTTTAATGTTAGTTATTAGAGCGTATCCTCTTCCTTACTGTGCCTCAAACATAATCAACCACTGCTACTGTGATCATATTGGTATAACCATGCTGGCATGCACTGACAGGGCACTTTATGGTTTTCCTGCTTTTGTGTTGGCAATGGTTACACTGCTGGGACCTCTGGCGTTTATAGTTTTTTCTTATTGCTCTATAATTCTATCAGTACTGAAGATAGCAAATTTACAAGGTCGCCTCAAATTGCTGTCCACTTGTAGTACTCAACTGATTATAATCTCACTCTATTATTTACCCAGATGTTTTGTATATTTAGCCAGCAATGTTGGTATTACATTTAGTGCGGATTTGCGAATAGTAATTATTATGCTGTACAGCCTTTGTCCTCCCTTGATCAATCCACTTATATACTGCTTAAGAGCTAAAGACATGAGAAAAAGCTTGTGGAAGCAATTCAGCAGAAGGCCCATTCCACAAAAAGGACAAGTTTCAGCTATTAGTAACTGATAAACTAATTCATTATTCAGTGTTTTTGCTTTCATCTTATTGGCCATCTCGCTTTGTGAGGACTGGAAAGTATAAAAGTATTGATTGTGGATAAATTGAAAGCCAAAGCTTTGTTAAACATTTCATTTTAAACCATGTTTTAATGTAAAGTACATTCTTAGAGAGAGACAAAAAGGCTGTCTCCGTCCGGGTTATCAGCATTCATTGAATGAAACAGCTCATTATGTTCATGTAAAACAAATAATGTCATTATTACAGCAATGTATGATTTCTGATGCAAGTACAGAAGGAAACAAATGGCTTCGCAAATGTTTTCTGTCAACCTGTCAAGTTGATGTATTTCACTGTCAGAGTACAAAGTGAGCTCAAAATAGATTACACAGAATTAATTTATATTTTAAACTTATGTCTTGTATGTTTATCACAAAATTGATTGAATAAAATATCTCTTATTTAAGAATAAATCACTTTACCATAGATTTTTCAGTGTCTCACACAGGTTTACGGTTTTTGCCAGGCCAAAAACAGCTTCCTGGAAGTGGGAGCATAATAGTAGTAGTACAATGCTAAATCCAAATTATACGTGCTCGCTCCATCTTAAGAGAATTATTGCTGTTGACATCCAGCAAAGAAATGTTGGTTTTCTCCACAACAAAACCTCCTTGTAGAAGAAATGTATACAACCGGTCAAATAAATACAGCTTATCAAATGTCTATGTGGTAAATATTCTGTTTACATTTTATAATATATTATTCAGTCCAGAAGACGAAAGAAAAAACAATGGACTGTAATCAAGCGTAAGATCATTGTAGTGGATGTCTGTAGGAAAATACTGACAATTAGAGTAAAGCAGACTAAATACAATATGTTTAAATTCTAGGATCAAGGGGATTTTTCTAGTGGAAGATTAAAAATAATGAAAACGCACAATTAGGGGATAAAATCACTGATTCATGGTACATTAAATAATGTGAACGTCTGAGGTAAAAACAGCACCAATAAAATAAAATAAAGTCAAATAATCGCTCTGCTTTTTATGCACTTGATTACACTGGCTTGTGGCCAGTTAACTGCTGTGATACACCTATGTTCTGTGCCATGGTGAGAGGACATCAATCAAAGTCTGTATTCATAATCTAAAACCATAAAAGAGCAACAAACAAAAGGAGCCACTTCCTCACACTGTAAATATGTTTTGAAGTCTTGTTAATCTGTTAACACATGGTCTTGCTGCTTTGAATACAAATCGACCTGCACTTAAGTCGACTCCTTCTTGTTTTTAATTTTAGATTTAACTCAATTTAGGTTCCGTTAATGGTGCTTTAATGGCAAGTAACATGCACTTCACATTTGTTATAAATAACACATTTAGCCTATATAAATTGCATCCTTCTGAAATTAGTCATTACTGGAGAGATGCAGTATTTTGTTTTTACTCTTACTTGAATAATTACTTTAATGAGTACTTTACTTCTTATGATATATAAAGCAACAATACTTTCATTTGAGCACCATTTTTTATTTACTCTACCCACCACTGCATTTCAAGACATAAGCACTGCATAGTGCACACAGATGATCCCACCTCAAACATCTCATTACGTCATTCTTTAGGCAGTATTTATAAAATGCTGTATACACGCAGAATTGAGTTTGGATCGGGGCGCACTGCAACCTTGGTTCTCAGGGTTGCGGTTTCCCTCTAAGCTCTAACTTAAAAACAGTACTTTCAGAGGCAATGGAAAACAGCGAGATCACAAAGACTACCTATAGATTTAATATCTAAATGATGACTGAATGACCAATTAGCAATCCTGCAAATTTAGACAGTATTTTAACACATTAATGATAATGATTATACAAATATAACACAGTCAAGGACTTCATAATACTTGGATTTCCAGGACTTGACCCAGCATATTATGGACCGTGTGTCTCACTTCTTTTCTTATCTACTTGCTTATCCTGGTTGGAAACATTTTTATTTTAATTTTTGTTGGAGTTGAGAGGCTCCTTTATAAACAGCATATTTGATCTTCTGTCATCCTGGCAATTAATGATTTGTTATTAGGACAGTGAACCTTACCAAAAATGATGCCAGATGATCCATTGGCAGGATGACAAGATAATATCTTTTGATGCCTGCTTCAACTTCAAGATGGTATTTTGTTCATTCCCTTGGGAGCTATTCATTCTCTCCTTCTGCTGATAATGGCCCTTGATCGTTTTATTGCAGTCTTTTTCCTTTAAAAATATCCTGTTCTGATTAAAAACAACAAATTTCCTATTGCTTGTGGGTTGTCATGGATTGGGACATTTTTAGGATGACGGCAGTTGTAAATTTCATGGGCCTAACCTTGCCTTACTGTAATTCTAACATCATTGTGCAATGTTATTGTGACCACATTTCAATTACAAACGCTGGGCATGTGGTGAAAATGTAAAGTATGTTCAGGCTGTTGCTGTTGGTCTTGCAATGTTTAGTCTGTTGCTCCCACTTTCATTTATATTTTTTTCCTTTATTTCTATCTTTGCAATAGTTTTGAGAATACAAAACACAGAGGGACGATACAAAACCTTATCAACTTGTACACCACAATTATTTATTTGTTGCCTATATTACTTTCCAAGATGTTTTGTTTATCTAGCTCATGCTATAGGATTTTCTTTCAGTTTGGACATCTGCATTTTAATTGATATTGTTGTAGCAGTATTTATTCCTTGTGCTGTTAATCCATAATATATTGCTTCAAAACCAAGTGATATCAAAGATATTTTGATAAAAAGGTTTGCAAAATGCTAAAGTTGGAATCAAGCAAGTTTCAAAGTAAATGCATCAGAATATATTCAATTCTTACCATTATATCTGTAGATCAAATGCAAAATTTTAAAACCAGTTCTATTCTTGAGTACCTCGGACTGAAACCGTGTGCTACATGTACTTTATGGTGCTAAGGCTTCATTGTACATGTACATATTTTGCTTTTATGCTAAATACACTAAAAATCTAAACTCTTTTCTGCACTGCAAAAAGTAAATGTGAGAATTTGACGTGGTTCCTGTGTCATTCAGATAAAAAAAAGAGATATATATTTCTATAAGCCTGGTTAAAATGTGTAACAAAGGTTGTACTTTATTGTACCTTGTTATTTATACTACTGTGATGTCAGATCAAGCCAACTGAGCTCTATTAAAGTCCCTCTCCACTCAAAAATATGTTTATTTTCTTGTTCCTACAGTTTGATGTTTAAGCTTCACTGTACAGAAAGACTAGAAGTATTTTATTCACATTCATCTGCTGAAAGTGGAACGTTTTTTGTGGTCCACTATGCAACTTATACAAGTGTGATGTGGAAACTTGAAGCCCCCCAGTGCACATACACTGAAAATTGAGGTGACAGTGAAATAGAAGACATTTTGTGTCAAGCAAATAAATGAACAACATTTTCATATTCATAGTTTAAGGAAATATTAATGAGGTACAAGGAGTTGCATATGTCTTAATACATGTCAGGGGGGATCTTTGAAGGGCACACCTAAGGGACTTCAGCGAATATGGCCTGTGTCTGACAAAGGGATGACAATAAAAATACTTAATAAATAATCTGACCAATGAAGGGCTGGTGTTTGGGCCTTTATTGCTTTCATATCACACCTTGACCGCATTCTTGGCCCCCCGGCTGAGGGGTCTGTGATCTGGCGGGCCCTTTTTCTTTGTCTTCAGTCACTACGAGCAGGCTTTATTGCTTACATAAGGGCCTCACTGTAGTAATGACCATTTCTTTGTTTAAGCACATGGCCAGATCCCAACATCCCCCCTTTGATCTCAGGAGTGCACCTGATGTGTGATCCTGGGATCAAGAGCGTATAGCCCATAGCTGAAAGAGTTCATTTGTCAGTTCATTCAAGTTTAGTAACAACTGACAGTTCATTGATAATTATCTGTCTTGGCATATAACTGGTATACAACTGTTAGGTGAGATACAGAGAGAAAGTGGCACTTAAAATGAAATCATTTTTGGAGTGTATTGGATAAGGACATGTGTATGACTGTGTGTCATAATGAATGTGTCCTAAGCTAGCTATATCAGTGACCTTATCAAAAATACTACCAAGGAGTTGATCCAGGTGTATTTGCTGTGATCAGAGATGTTGCAGTTATCATCTGAAAAGTCAACTGTCTGGTCACAAGGTTGGGGCTGCACATCTGAGTATGGCTTTCTACAGTTTTTGCTTTGAGATAGCCTATCTCGACGCAGATGGTGGACACGGCGGTTATGCTCAGTGTCCATATACTGCTGTTGTCAGGATCAAAAGGTTCCATATCTTTAGCTATATGCTTCAAGCTCTTCAAGGCAGGGACACTGTGAGGTTGTTACCGGGGAAGGCGAGGCTAAATTTGATTGACTGTAGACAGAATATCTGCTAGAAGATAAGCTACATATCTCTTCAATGTCTGATTCGGGGAGATGAGAAGTCAGGTAACTGTTCCTTCTGTCTCTCTGTGGAGGTTGAGGAACTGACTTTCTTCCCAGGGACTCAGGGTCGGTTGGGGACTGGTCCCATCTTGTGAGGGAAGAGGGAGTTAACCTCTCACCAAGGGAGGAGTTTGAATCAGAAAAGCCAGAGTCACATCTGCTGAATGACTGTGGAGGGGCAAGATGTCCTAATCTGAAGGCCCAAACAACTCCTCCTTGGGGTTAAACATTGAGTTCTAGGCTCTGGTTGAATGGCCCAGGTCTCCTACAATTAGGCGCATAGCTTACTTGTTAGCTGGTCTCGGAACGTTCATGCGGTGAGGGGAGCACATAACATTTGTTGCTTTATAGGCAATCTACTGTCCTTCTGCTAAGGCTGCTTGGCTCTGAAACACAAGAAGGGGTGTTGCCTTGGTGGAAGTTAGAAGGCCAAAAATCTTCAGGCAATGAACTTTTTGATTGCGGTTCTGAGCAGTTGCAACTGTCATTGGAGTGTGGAGTCTGTTTCACCTTCCCTACAC